TCTGGCATGTGGATCCCTATGAACCGCTCTATTTCTGTTTTGTAAAATATTGTTCATTTTTTCTTGATGAGCACCATGCATAGAAATTCAGCCACACACTTACCTATTTAACACACCCTTATTAAGCATGTGATTAAGTAAAATGTACTGAAACATGTAAGTTTGAATATATTCTAGCAACAGAATTAGAACTTTGACAATGTATGGAATACATTTCGACCACATATCAACAAAAGGTACCTACTGTCAAAACTCAAGCACCAAAACACTGGCTTAGTAAACATGTAGCATGGAATGACTTTACTGTGACATCTAATAAGTATTTAAATAATTTAACATGTTGATGTATTGTAAGAATGGACAGAATAGGAACACCACTGACTCCAGCACCAAAACACTGGCTTAGTAAACATGTAGCATGGAATGACTTTACTGCAAGGTCTAATAAGTATTCAAATAATTTAACATGTTGATGTATTGTAAGAATGGACAGAATAGGAACACCACTGACCAGTGTATAACTGGTATATAAACATAGGTACCCGGTATATGATTTACCAGGAAGTTTTCGTCGCAATTTAATTTTGGTGGTTTTTTCGTCCTCCGTGATAAAAGCGAAAGTGTCATTTCAGCGAACAGTAGTTTAAAAAGTTAGCGATATTAAAAAAACATCTTGATCCCATGTGAAGAGCAAAAATGGATTTAACCAGCGTAGGGTGAACATTTCTCGGTATACAGTAATAATACATAATGATAGATTTACTTTATTTTCAGTACATCATACAGATATACTTCAATACACCAACTTTATGTAAAGCCACCTTTATTCTGACGAAGAATAAATTATAGGACCAAATTGACCACAGACACTGTGACATTGCATCGAAGCTCACTTGGGCAGGTTACCTAAAGGCGTCTGACAAATATGAAGATCATGTACTTAAGTCTAGTACCAGGTAAAGACCTTTATCTGATATCACGACCATTACATCATTCTAAATCTTACACTACTAGTCTAACTCCCATAACCAACTTAACTAGGAAATAAAATACGAGTATTTACTGATTAACATTGAGAATTGAGGCGCAGTGTGTCGACTATATCTGTACCTCTCTGGTCAGTTTATTACTGTGGTACACTGCACAGTCATCACCTGCTCCTCTTTACATAATTAATTGATTAGATACGAACTAATGTATCATACATATATCATACATACAGTGATACTAAATTAACGTATATGATATTGAACTAACTTAGATATGTACAAGAGGCCCATGGGCCTGAACGGTCACCTGAATCTACATGTAATAATGTTTTTTGTAGTTGTGATATGGAAATAAAAATGATGTTGGGAAATGACACACAAATTTCATATCTATAGTGGTAACTATAACAAAAAGACCACGCTGACCCAAGTCCTGTTCAATCTCAAGCATACAAGTTAAAAAGTGTTGATTATTATTGAATCACAATGTACCTGAAGTCTTATGACCCTGGTGAAAAGTTTGTAAATTTTAGTTTGACCCATATTTTACCACTTTTTGTAAGGGTATTCATTTTCATGCCATTGAATTCATGCCATCCCATAAAAATAAAAATTCCAGTTCTGAATTATTTCCAACTGAAAACAAACGAAACGTATGCTAGAAATTGTTATATCCCCATATACAATACAGTAGATTTTTCCCCCTCCCTAGAGGGAATTAGGGCAAGCTGGGTGTAATGAAACTGAAAATATGGAGAAAGCACTTTATTATCTTTCTTTATCTGAGGAGAATTTGTTAAAGAATTCTGTCTGGAAAGAAGATTTTAGAGAATTTAGCCTATTAGACCCCATTGGCATAACCTTTCAGGTCCTTGGGGTGGAGCTGGGGGTCAGGGTCTTATAATAATTATAATAATTGGAGGTTCTTATATACTGCTTTATCACAACCTAGTTCGTAGGTCATCTCAAAGCGGTTCACAAATTATTATCCATGGTTATAGGGCCTTTGCAACTAGCCAGTACATTTCTCAACTCCCTGGGGAGCATACAGCCAGAGCTGCCATTTCGGCGCTAACAGCTAGCATTCCACAAGTCTAGCCCTGCCCATCCACGTTCTCATTTACAGCTAAGTAGACTGGAACAGGCAGAGTAAAGTATCTTGCTCAAGGATACAACACATTGCCGTGGACTACCACTGGACTACCGTGCCTCCTTATATTATTATTATTGTCTTCATTTTAATATCATCAAACTGCTATCCTGTGAACCAAGTCGGAGTCATTTTCTGCTGAAAAAAGAAATTGATTCTGTATTCCAGGTATGCAAAAAATTGTTGAAATTGTAGCCAATCTGACCCCATTTGTCCCTACCCCTCACACCAGTGGGGAGCTGGAACCATTTACTTTTGACACATTTGTTTTGTTGTTTCCTACATTTTTTTTAAAGTGGTTCTGCGATTTTTGAGGAGACACTATTGTGAATAGTTACAAATGGTAAACACACAGACAAAAGGAGATTGCAATAGGTCACTTGAGACTCCGTCTCAGCTGACCGTAAAATGTGGACAACTAAATGATTAATACTATTGCAAGAAAAAATGAAAATAGGTAATGTAAATACGGACGAAATTAGTTAACACACAGGCAATGTAAACATAGCACACTTGTATATGAGAAATGAATGGCACAAAGTAAGAAAAGTATAGCTGTAGTAATATATAAATATACAATATTAATATGAATATTCTAATAGATTATGATAAATACTTCATTATATAATGTAAATAAAATATTTACAAGATAGACTTCACATCATTTTATCAACAAAATCAAAAATCACAGGTAATAATGGACGATATGTTTTATGATAGTATGATCACGCTATACCATCCCCAATCTCAAAACATAGTTGAGACATATCCCATAAGCATGGAACACAATTTTTCAGTTTCATTAGTAATAGGATATAATTCTTTTACATCACAATCCCTTTAATTCAAAGATCACAAAAAGTGGACAGTATGTTGCCAAATTGAACATAGACAAAAGTAAGCTATACATCGTAATAAAAGTGTAAAATACTTACAATGCTGGGTTCATCGAACAGCCATTAAATATGCAAACATACTGATAAAGTAGATTTGAAAATATAAGTTTTAAAACAAGGAAATTATCACAGAAATTAAATAGAAAATACTGAACAAGTTACGTAGGACCAGGGGTAACACAAGGTATCTTAGGACCATAACTGTGCATATCAAGTTACACGTTGCAGTGAAAAATAGGTCTGGACGGTATATTAGGGGATTCAGAATGACGGTACATTATCTTACGGGGTTAAAACAAAGATACATGTATGTTAGGGGGTTTAGAACACGAAGGTACATGTATGTTAGGGGATTCAGAATGATGGTACACATATCTTACAGGGTTAAAACGAAGGTTGGAGGGTTTAGAACACAAAGGATAACTGGGTAAAGAGAACAATACTGGCCGTAATATATTTTCTGAATCAATGGCCTACGGGAACACACATACCAACCTTTATCTCATTTTATGATAACTCTCCTTTATAACAGGGTGTCTGATTGGATGATACTGGTCACATGATAGGGCAATAATATATCATATCACCCTCAAGCACTCAGGAATACCCTATCATATTTCCCTTATTCGGAGCCTCTCTAGAAAAATCGGCAAGAACCAACACAGCCTAGTTCTGAATGATGGAAGTAGACAACAAGTATGCTGCATCAACCTGATCACCTTTTCTATTGTGTTATTGTTTTTGATTTTTTTTTGCTATACTTAAATATTTATTGCCCTAACTTGTAAATGGGGGTTACAGGCAAACTTGACAATGTGTGGGTTTGGGAAAGTTGATCTGGGAGAAGAAAAAAAATTGAGTGTTGAGAAGGATGGGAGATATGAGTCAAAGATTTGTGAGTTGGGGGACTTTGTAGATTATACATGTATACAAATTTTGTTAACCCTCAAATCTTTAACAAAGGGTCAAGGAAAAATAATTATATAGTCTGGGGAGATTGAGAAAGTAATAGATAAGGGACCAAGAGAGTGGTAGATTTCAGGGATAGGGACAATTATAGAGTTGTGGATTAGGGTAGCCAGAAAAAGGTGTTGATTTGGTAGGGTTGGAGATTTGGAGATCAAGGAAAATCACAGATAAGGTGGTTTGGGAAACAAATTGATTTGAGGACCTCAGAAAGTTAACTAGTGAAAATGTGTAGACATTGTGACAGGGAAGGGTTTAAGATTTACAGGTTGGACAACACTATCATTTTAGGGGGATGAGGATGTTGGGAGATCTGGAGGTTATTAATTAAGGAAAAGCAGAGATTTTACAGGTTGTGCAACTTTGTAGATTTGATGCTTCCGGCCCTTAGAGTTTGGGAACATACATTGGGAGTGGGTAGGGGGGATCTGGGGAATTTTGGGGCTGGAGAAACACAGATTTGGGGGCTGGAGAAACACAGATTTGGGGCTGGGGAGAGAAAGATTTAGGGGCTGGAGAGACACAGATTTGGGGGGCTGGAGAGACACAGATTTGGGGGCTGGAGAGACAGATTTGGGGGCTGGAGAGACACAGATTTGGGGCTGGGGAAAAATAGATTTGAAATTCTGAAGATACATGGATTTGAGGGTCTGGGGACACAATATGATATTTTAGGCTTCAGGCAGTGAGAAAGATTTGAA